GCTTTTGTTACTGGTTTTACAAGTGCTTACAATAATGATTGCAGATTAAAAAAAAAAAAAAAACAATGCTCGATCGTAACCAAGTCTTTGAGATATCTATAATTCTTATCAGCTCGATTAACTTTGATTTATAAGAGAAAGAGTATAATACCCCAAAAAAAAAATTATGAAGAGGATCGAACCCAGTTTATATTTATATAATTGAAACTGAATTTAATTGGTTATTGGTTGGATCATGAATGCGATTCATGAAAAAAGTAATTGAGACTCAAATAAGTCATTGGTTGGCATAAATAAGTGACGGAGGAGAGATGTATTATGAAAAAGATTGATGGGTTAAGCATATCAACCGGGGTATCATTCATAATTAGTACTCCCTCCGTTTTTTTTCATAGTCATTTAAGGTTTTGCACGAAATTTAAGAAAATTATTGATATTTTAGTTTTCAAAAATATTTATTATTTATTTTCCAATTTTACCTTCTTTTTTTTTTATACATTTTTTAGACGGTTGAACTACTCTATTAAATAGTTGTCCCTTTTCTATTTTTTTATAGTATTTTGTTAGAAACATATTGTTCTTATAAATGCATATTAACTTTATATGAGTAGTTGGAGAAAAATTAGGTAGACATTAAAAATAAATACACACATTGTTCAGGAAATATGTATTAATTATCAAGGGTAAAAATGGAAGAAAAAAATTAATAACCCATTGATTTTAGTAATATGACAATGAAAAAAAAACAACAAACTCTGACAAAATGACTATGAAAAAAAAATGGAGGGAGTAGCATATACTAATTATATGTATAATATGATAAATGAAACCAACTCAATTATTCTATGACCAATGATAAATTATTCTAATACGATAAATTGACTAATATTAGTTAAACTTCTTATACTTATTACACATTATAAAAATAACTTATTTAATAAAAAAAATTATATATATTTGATTTCTATATGTAAGTATTTTTTAAATAACGACAATCACAATATTATGAATATAATAAACGTGTATTTGATATAAATTTAGAATAAAATTTTATTAAAAAATATTTGTTATATTTTAAGTAAAGAAGTTCCCAAAAGTTATCCAAAAATACTGCTGATCTTTATCTGGTGAACCAAACTTGGTGGCAAGCAGTGTGTGGAGCAGAAGTGGATTCGCCAAAGCCACAGCACGGGAAATGTTCACTAAATTTGGCAACATTATTTTCTTTCTTTATAAGAAACGTAATCAAAATTGAATAACCAAAATTAAATGGTGGCAGATGAGAGAGTTATTACACATACCGTTATCAGTTGCATTTATTTCAAATCCTTTTTCTTTTCATTTTTCATTAAAAAGATTTATAATTTTGGCTTGGTAGCATCACCACCACGTGTTCCTACCCTCTCACCCTTAAAGAATATTGTTCAATATATAGCAATAATTGAACATAAAAGCTCACCAACTTATTTTGGTCTTTCAAAATGTTGACATCGTGCATTTCATTTTTTTAATACTGTGGCAAATGCTAACAGGGTGTAGGTAACTAAAGAACTTGTCAAGAAAATGAAAAATATAAACTTTTAATTAAAAATCATTATATTTGAAATTTAAAAGCCTCTTAACATTTATTGTTTAAAATAACAAAATGTTTAATAAGGTGCATTTAATTTTAATCAGTATTTCTTATCAATATTTTAATTAGTGTACTTAATAACACTGATCAACAGTACATGACCCGAATTTTATTAAGTGAAATTTGATGTTAAAAATCTTATTTAAATACGTAGACCTATTCTTTTAATTGGCAGAGCAAATATTTAATTTTATCTGAAAAAATAAATAAAGAGAATGTTATAATTAAGTTATAACTTATTAGTATTTTCAATTTTCATTCACTCTTATACGCGCGTACTTTAATATATTAATAAGATAAATTTATTCTCTCTTGTGAGGATTGGAAGAACGTGACTTGCACGTATTATTTAAATAGGTGAAGAAAATTATGTAGAAGAGTGAGGTGATCTGTCTAATAATTTTAGGAGTGATTTTGTAGAAATATTACGTATCATTAGCAAATCCACTGTTACTGATTAAACTAACTAACTTTCCTAGTTAGTTAATACTCTTGTTTTTTTAATTGAAAGAGTTTATTATGTCTCACTAATACTCTTGTTTTCTGATTGGCATCTTGAAATTTTGTTGTTGTTAGAATTGCTTGTAGAAGAACTAAGACCTCAAGAAGATAGTAACCCTATTGCATCTTGCTTGCAAGAGTTCTTTCCCTAACAAAGGGGAATGAGTTCTATCAATCTTGAGTGTAGAATAAAGTGTGGTTAACAGGTTTTCCTTCAATTTTGTAGGCTTTAATTGTAAGATATTGGAGAGATTTTGAATCCAAAAAGTAGTTGAGCATATCCAAAAAGACTATTCATGAAGAGTCCTAAGTTCTGACCTATGAAGGTTTTAATCAATGAGAAGTGAGTGAAATGTTATCAAATGTGGTGTCATGAAGTGTAGTCATTAAAATGTCAAGTCTAAAGGACAATACATTTACGATGAGCACGGTTATGCGTTGTTATCATGGACATTCTTAAGTTATTAGTTACAACCAAGCTCATTTTTTCAATGCAAAAAGTGAGATTAAAACAAACATGATTGTGCTCCTCTTTACGAAGCAAAAGCTTAAAAATTAAGTACAATTGTGATTGGAGTGAGCACGATGACCACTCTGATTCTTATTGGATACTTTTGCCTTGGACTTGAGTATATAAGAGTTGAAAGAATTATATACAAAGATAAGAGAGTGTAGAGACAATCATTTGAAGAAGTAATTAGTTAATATTTAATTAATTGAGAATTTGAAAATAATAAAAGAGTGCAAAGACAATGATTTAATAAAAAGTACATCTTATGTCAAGAGAAAAAATTTAGCATTGATGCTTTATGTAAAGACTATAATCATGTATTCTTAATTATAGTAAGGATGAAAATAGGCTAGACTTTAAATAAATGTTTATAACATAATTTGTTTAAAGTTTGACCTGACATATTTAATAAAAATTTTAAGTTTAAACTTTTAAAAAAAGTATATTTATTTAAAAAGAAATTAAAAAATTTTGTTAATCCTCCTAATAGATTAATCTATTTATCTATGATATAATAATAAATAATATATATATATATATATAACATTATTAACAAAATAATTGAATAAATAAATTTGTAATATGAAAATTCAAATTATCAATAATTTTTACATTTTTACTACACCTAAACGTTTTATATTTTTTGTTCTTTCAAAATCAGGGTATAAAAAACAAAACTCTAGTAGCTACATCCTTCCCTATTTTTTTTCCCTTCATCTTTATATTTGATTATTTAGAATACTTCAAATGTGATATATGAAATATTTAAAAAGTTTTTTTTTAATAAAATTATGTTCTTCATTATACCATATGTATGAGTGGACATTAGTCATGCATGAGTTGTCTCTCAATTAGTTTTTTTATTTTTATTTTAAACTCTAAATTTTAATCATAATACTATTTTTTATCATACAAATAAAAAAAATTATCACGCAAATTAGATAAAAATTTGCACATGCATGTATTTAAAAATATAATTGTTGACTTATTTAAACTTAAATTTATTAACCTATTCAACATTATTAGTGTAAAATAAATTTTTAAATAGATTAATTGCAAAATAAACTTTAAATAAGCTAATAAATCATGTCAAATTTTAAAAATATTAAACCAAATATACCAAACAAAATATAATAGATAATAGGTCAAACTCAAACTTTAGTTTTATAGAACAAGTTTGACTTATATATTCAAAATTTTATCTAACTTATTTCCACCCTTATTTATTAGACATCGATCATAATAATAATAAAGATAAGAGAACTAAATAACAAATGTTACATATGCTCTTATATTTTGTGTGATAAATTAAGATTTTAAGCTTTATAATGTATATATTTAATTTTCAATCGTTATCTTACAAGTTGATTTGCTTTGAAGGAATAATTGTTTATGACTCATAATTAAGAGAATATATATATATATATATATATATATATAATTTGT